TTTCATGGGTACGTTTTTGTTGGGCGATGGAACAGAGGCAGAACCGGCGAAGAAGCAGGAGGGTGCCGTCTGGTTTGCAAGGTTACTTCCAGTCCCCTTAGCCGACTTTGGGGTGTTAGCGGACGTTCCAGGCCGACCTGATTGGCCTTCAGAAATGTTCTTAACAGGCGTACTTGCTAAGGAGGCGGATGGCGGTATAATGGTCAATTTATCGTCGGTAAATTTCTGCCTTTCGCGGGACGAAGAAGCATTTGAAGATGCCGACGAACCAATAGGAAGAACGGGAACGTCAACTGAATCGTCCGCGGTTTTTGGCAATGACGCCTGAAGTGGAGTACTGTCATGTTCGACAGCGCCGGTTGTGTTAGGCAAATTTATGGGGACATCGCTTAGGTCCTCCAGGTGCAGGTCCTCGTAAAGGGTTTGATACTGCTCTATTGACACCTCATCTATGCATTCTATGATGTACTCCACTTGGTCTTTTAGCGAACGAACTTTGGCGCAATCTAGACGTTCATTATCTAGGTGCCGCATGACGGTTTCGAGTTTTTCTATATTAAAGGAACAAAATTCTAATTTCCTTCGTTTCTCCTCAGTGGTGGCAGCCCTCTCCTTATCCGCCCGCTTCTTTTTGCCTGTTGTTGCCAGGTTCTCCAGCTCAAATTCGTATTTTTCAGATTGAGTCTGAAGGGCTTGAATGGACTGTTTCAACCATTCATCCAGTTCTTCTTTTTCTTTTTGAAGTGGGTCTTTTTTGGCATCACTGGACAGGAGACCCTCCTTTGAATAGGCCTTTGTTTTAGTCTCCTTTTCTATCACTTTAAAACGTTCCATGTCCTGTTCAATAACTCTCCGAGCTTCCAGCAATGCCCGTTTGTCCTTGATTTCATTATACGTAAGCCAAGTTTTTATTTGGTCTCGCAACCTTTGAAGCTTCTTAATCTCCTTTTTCAGATCGGCTTCAAACTTTTCTTTTTGTGTTTGGCTTCCTGAGCTCTCAAATTTGTCCAAAATTTCCTACAATAGAAATAGAGACGACAATAGGATTAGCGAAACGAAAGGCAATCATTTTCTTTTCAGCCGTCGGGTGCAAAAAATGAGTAATGCGAAGAACACTGAGTATCTATTTCTCCGTCACTGAAAATAAAAATTCTTTATGATCATTAAACGCGGGAGAAGAGCTACAACCCACAAACGTCAGTGTTTTGTATCTAAGGCATATCTTTAAATGAGTATCTACCACCATCATAGATAAAGGGAAATCGATGTATTTTCAAAAGAATGGAGCGAATAAGTTGCTTAATGTGTCAAAACTAACAGGGAATTTCAAAAAAGAAAGCTAATCCCCAAAGCTTGTTCAGTCTATCAGAAACATGCGAAAGGTATCCCAAAACTGGGATGGGCAAAC